GTGTGAAAATGTCTTCGCTATTCGCCTGTTTCAGCTTCTTCAGGCTCGAGTTCTCGGCCGTTCTCCTCGTCAGGTCTTCATGCCTCCACAACAACAACAGTCGTGAGTCCGTCCATTAATCCTTCTGGAGGACGAAGACGTTCGTTAATCGCTGAGTTTTTGTTTCACCTGAAAGGGAAAGTTTGTTGTTAAAGCTTCAGTGAAACGTTCAGGAAGATCTGTTGGTTTTTATTGGTGTTTGAACCTGAAAACACTAGAAAGTCCCGAATCAAGTCCCATGTGAAGTCCTGGGTCAAGATGGTTGATTCCAGAGTCAAGTCCTTGACACCCAAAAGCTTGAGTGCTCTAAAGGACAGTTTACTATGAATATCTTCAGTAACGACACGATAAAAACACAAAAAATAATGATTTGATGAACCAAACTGAGCAGGAACAGCGTTACCAAGGCAACGGTACTATAATCTCACACCATAAGTTTGGGGACTTTAAGAGACGAAAGTAAAAATAAACTGACTTTAAGTCCATTTTATGGGCCAAACTCCCCGAACACTGGATCCTACATTTCCCATAATGCAACTGAGTAACATCTCTTCATACACCCCCTACATATGACATCACTATGACGTCACCAGGATGGCATCTTGAATAAAACTGGATCCGTATCTGCGCAACCTCCTCCCTCCAGTGACTCCACAAAGCCTCAAATGAAGTCAAACTGGATTATAAACCGGCCCTTTAAATCTCCCGAGGTCAAAGGTCACGGCAGCATATGGATCGAGGCTCATCGTAAGTCATTCGCCGTGTGTGCAGATTGGCTGCACGCGCCTGACTGAACACAAAGCCACGCTCAGCGCAGGACGTGTCTGATTCAGCAGCTTATTTACTGTTCAGGAATTAAAGGAACTCCGGAAGGTTGTGAATGAATCTAAATTTAGTTTTCAGGAATTCACTGATGCAACATTTGGTTCGAGCAGCCGTGCAGGAAGTCATCCGGCTGTCGGTTACAAACCAACACTGTAACTCACAAATATAGTTCAGAATAACCTTCATCCACACACAAGGACAACCCCCCCCCCGCTTCAGATTCACTGAGATTCTGTGATAAATGCTTTTATTGTGAAGCACTTCTATTTTGAAAAACACTCCTTATTTACTTTTCACCGAACCCACAGCTCTGCAGGGTTGTGTGGAATTCAAGGGGATTGTGTTACTTAATGCAACTGCCTGATTTCTTACACTACCTATGTATATACAACTTTGTGATGCCTTCCCCATCCTAGGATATAGACAATCAGAGGATTTAGAAGTGGGTACAACCAATACTGACTGATCAATAAGTGGGTATACTCCTGCGTCTACCTGTACTACACCACTGCACTGTAAAAACATGGAAATATTAATAAACTTACAAAAATATCCTGTGAATTTATGTTTAATGTAAAATAATCTGTAACAATCATAAAATTGTTAAAAAAGTTAAAATACATTTAGCGAATTGATTGTTTTCTACAGATATTTACTGTTTATTTAATAGATTAAACTGTTAAATTCAAGTTTATTACTGTTGATACATTTATAAAATTATTTTAAATTAGTAACAATTAACAGGTAATTTCACAGAAGACTTTTATTACAATTCTATAACCTTTAAAACATAAAACTTTATGTAAATTTAGGCCTGATTATCGGTATTATAGCAGTGTCCGTCTGTATTTATAGATAATGTTATTATTTTTACATGTGTAAATATTTTTAATTAAACATTAAAAAGACAAAACTTAACTTTTAAAAAGATTTTATGTACAATTTAAGCAAAAACTATTACTATTAATAACCATTTTAATTACAGACAATTGCTGTATTTTAACATTATTTTACTGCATTTTAACATATTTTCTATTATTTTACTGTATTTTTTGTTGCTCCAGCTGCAAGAGTGTTACCTTTTCTTTATATTTATTTGTTTTACAGTGTGGTTCCTGCCCATCACTGGTGGTTAAATCACAGATGTATTAAGGGAGTTCTGTCTCATAGGAATTACATTTACGTACAACTTATTTGCAGCAAACAGCAGACGTGTTAATGCTGATCGAATTAAATTTTTTATTAAAATAAAGAGAAAATGTCGTTTTAATTAACGTAAGTTGCTAAAAGAAAGTTTCAGTAAAATGTTTATTGACATATTTCATTGAGAATCACTGTTTTTTGTCTTTCATTTGATTCTCTCCTTGATGTTTCTTTGTTCAGTGTAACTGGGACCGGTTCCAGCTCCACAGCCAGCTGATCCTCCACCTTCCTGCCCACTGCTGGGTCCGTCTGCCGGGCTTTCTCTCCTGCTGCCTCCACCAATCTGCTGGAGAAACAGTGAATGACTAATATCATAAAAGAAGCAAAACAACAACACAATAAAGAAGAATAAAGTTTAAAGACACTGTAAAATATTTCAGATTTTATGGTGAAAAACTGTCAAACAACGACAGTAAAAGACTGTAAACTTTAAATATGTTAAATACAGTCATATCTCAAAGCAAAACATTTATTTTATTTTAAGATAATTCATATGGAATAAAGTAGTTTATTTATATTACAGACTGTTTATGCACAGAAAACTACAGCATTCATATTATATAGCATTCATCATGTGGCAAAACTGCTTATTATGATATGTAAAAACGTGTATTTATATATTAAAATATAGAATAAAACTCCAACTTTAACCGTACAATCTAAACTAACTAAACTAACTTCCTTTTACCGTAATAGTAGAATAAGTATTTATTACGGTAAAGTTCGAGCAACCACGGCTGCCGGTGGCGCTCTCCGTGGTGCTGAACCTCAGACGTCTAAAAGGGATTTGACAAACTAATAAAATTATTGATCTTCACATTCAGACTCAAACCAACAGTGAATGAATCAAGTATTTTGTGTGTGTGAAGGTTTGATTTATCTTCCTCCTTTGTGCTGTAGAGCCTCATTATGTCCATTAAATGTATGAGATGGTGGCGGACCCTGCCAGCGCCACCAACACAGACTCTTTCAGTCACTTCCTTCCGGCAGGAGGTTTCGGTCCATAAGCACTGAAACCACAAGAACAGTTTTTTCCATCTGCAGCCTCATCAAGACCCCGACTAACCCTGAAACCCACCTTCAATATTACATTAATGCACTTCATGTACTCTTCACTCATTTATTTCAGCCATCTTGTTGATATCGTCTCTATTTTTATCTTTATTTATATTTTTTTAAACCTTCTTGGTTATTATTTACTGGCTTACACATAATGTTTGGACCGTATTAAGGTTAAAACATTAGGATGAAATTAAATGAGGACATACGAGATACCTGATTGGTAACAGCACGCTTTAAAGTCCAAAAACAATCAATTAATGCGAGTGTATGGGACTGAAATTAAAGATGTTGTTCAGACTTTATATGAGAGAGTGACCAGGAAGAAATATGTGTAAATAATAGAAATACTGCAGATTTCTGCACTGTGTTTCTTTGTCTCCAGTTTGACTGAATTATTATAAACCGAGTGATAAGTCCTCCACACATTGAAGCTAACGTCGTCTTTTTTTAGGCTTTTATTCCACCGACTCATCTGACCTTCCTCGCCACAGAGGTGAGACGACCTCCGGTGAATTCAGCCTCCAGATAAAGTCAAAATTAAGCCTCAAAGTAATTCCAGCCTCGAGGTTTGAGCTCATAATTTATTCCAAACGAACTAAATCCTTCATCCGTTATCTCGGTTATCAGCATGTGTAGCTTAAAGCTTAATGAAGGTCGTCTTCTTTTACACACACACTGAAAATATCTGTCGTATTTGGCCTCATTGGTTGCAGGTGTGTCTGTTTGTACATCAACAATCATTACACTGAGACTAAGAGAGAAAACTTTATTATCAGTAAATTCTGGGGAGAAAACACAACTCAAAAATAGTCCAAAAATAATCTAAATAAATAAAATTGCTGATTATTTTTGGCAATAAAATAGGAAGTGGAGGAAAAATTAGAAGTAATAAACAAAATTCTGATGTACGATCAATACTTTTGATATTTTTGGGCTTATACATTTAATATTGTTCATTTTCTATCTTAAAATTTTGACTTGTTACATTCTGAGATCATGATTGACTCTTGATTTCTAATTAAACTTTCCTAATTTGTGCTGTAAAAGTTCAGCATTTGACTTAATATTTCATCATTTTGAGACTCATAATTGTGACTGATTATTTTTTAGGACTAAATTGTCCCTTTTAATGTACAACCCCGTCATTTGAGATAATAAATGTCATACTTTTGATTTTGAAAACTGTGTTGACTTTCTTTCTTGGCTCTGATTGGTTGTTTTCGTTCAGACTCAAAAACACCATCAGGAGCACCAGGATGAATCAGAGGAACCTGATTTATTCACAGATGATCTGTCTCATGTTCTACTGTCATGATATAATTAAAGTTTGAGCAAATATGATAAAAATATTTGTATAAAAATTACCTACTGCAGCTTTAAATAAAAAAAAAATGTTCACACCTAGTTTAGTTTTGATAAACTATAATAACCTTACTTACCATGACTGTATTTATTATTCCTAATGCGTCTTTTTTTCTATCTGGCATTAACAGGCTTCCATATAGGCTGACAACCTATTGATCAGTTTATATGGAAGTCATTATAATGAGAAACTTTATTTTAAAATATTGACTTAGTATCTCAATATTTTGAATTAGTATCTGAAAATAATGTAAAAGTTTCTAATTAATAATTATAATAATATTGGCAGAAATGGTCTTCCATAGCCAGAAGCATGTTACAGTCTCTCTATCATGTAGTTTCACACTGGACAGTCGCTCTGCTGCTGGTTTTCTCCCTGTTACCATAGCAACACCGGGATATTTACACCAACATGCGGGCCTGACTGTCGCAAACAGCTCCGGAGCCAATTATAGGAAACGGTTCGAGTCGCTTCCTGCTGCGGATTCCTCCGGATAAACCTGCAAAAAACCAAAAACAAACCTGCGTGATCTCTTCTGCGTTTGACAGCAGCAGAAATATATCGATCACATTTGGTTACATCACAGGACGCAGAGATGAATTTATTGGCTTTTATTTTATAATAACTTTTTTTTTTTAAATGTGTTTTGGGGGTCTGGATCGTGCAGCTCGGCCCGGACCTGCTGCTGGTTTTGCAGATACTGTAGTGCCAACTGTGTTTTACAGTCTGTCTGCATTGCGTCGAAACCCCCCTCCTCCTCTCCTCTCTCTCTCTCTCTCTCAAACACACACACTCCCCTCACTCACTCACTCTCTCCTAACCCCTCCCTCCCTCCTTCACTTCACTTCTCCTTTTTTTTTCCTCCTCTACATGAAATCCTGCAATATGCTTCCAAATTACCGGGGACGCATCCTCCGTCCGCTGCGCCGGTTCACTGCGGGATCCCCGCTAACACCGGGTTTCATTTAAAAGCCTCCGCTATCTTTCTGCCGTTTATTTTTTATTTTCTACCGCAGCTAAAAAAAAAAAAAAGAAACAGCCCAGGAGAGAGGAGTCGCTTTCTGCTGATGCTGCAGTGTCCAGTCCTCCCAGTCCTCCCAGTCCTCCCCATCAGACTGGATCCAGCTGTTTATTTCTCGTATCTTTCCGCCTCTTTTATTTCCAGCATGATTTTAACAAATCGTCAGTCAGGATTTTTGCTGCTGAGCCGCGGTTCAAAGCCGTCTGAAGCCTCCTCCTCCTCCTCCTCCTGCGGGCTGCTCCGATCGACGCTGAAAACCTACACCAAGAGGATACGGATGTTAACCAAGACAACATAGTCTATTAATTTTTCAGACATACTGTAAAACGATATCAGCATTAAAAAGCCAAGTTGTGTTAAGGTGCGCAGGGTGAGGACATTCCTTCCATCTGCTGCAGCTCGTCAGCACAGGTACATTTTTATTGATCATATTCTTCCCTTAGAGGTTATTTTAACATGCAGGAGGTGTTTCATTTGTTAATTTTGAATGTGTGAGATGTTTATCTGATGGGTGAGGTGAAACTGAGAGTGCGCAGAGAGGAAGCGCAGCAGGACTGCAAACTTGAATACTGATGTATGCGGTAAAAATACAGCAAATGCAGCACAGGCTCCTGTTCTGTACTGCAGGAGCTGTTTGTCTCCTCGTATACAGACGGGAGGTGGAGGGACGTCTGTGAGCTCTGTAAGACTTGTTTGTTTCACCCTCCTGCAGGTGAAGGACAAAGTGTTACCGAGAGAAGGAAGATGTTCAGCTCGGAGACGACGACGACGATGAAGATGATGATGATGGAGAGGGAGGCTCTGCACAGCTACCGGCCTCAGTAGAGGCTCCTTTTGCTCCGACCTGCTGCTCCTCACCTTCACGCCGCTTCCTCTTCCTGCCCTCCGCCCACCAGGAAGGATGACCGTGGTGTCCACGGAGAACATGGACGAGACCTCCACCCTGCCGGGACACCCGCAGGACCCCTACCCACCCGACGATGACCACGACGACCATGATTGCTGCGAGCGGGTGGTCATCAACATCTCGGGGCTGCGCTTCGAGACCCAGTTGAAGACTCTCGCCCAGTTCCCGGAGACTCTCCTCGGGAACCCAAAGAAGAGGATGCGCTACTTCGACCCCTTAAGAAACGAGTATTTCTTTGACCGGAATCGCCCGAGTTTCGATGCCATCTTGTATTATTACCAATCCGGGGGACGGCTAAGAAGGCCAGTCAACGTGCCCCTGGATATGTTCTCAGAGGAGATAAAGTTTTACGAACTCGGCGTGGAGGCCATGGAGAAGTTTCGAGAGGACGAGGGATTTATCCGGGAGGAGGAACGTCCACTGCCGGAGAAGGAGTTCCAGCGGCAGATCTGGCTCCTCTTTGAGCACCCGGAGAGTTCGGGGCCCGCCCGGGGGATCGCCATCGTCTCAGTGATGGTTATTCTTATTTCAATAGTAATATTTTGTTTGGAGACATTACCAGAACTGAAGGAGGATCCCAGCGTGCGGATTCAGATTGTGGGGAACGTCACCGTGTATTACAAACCAAATTTCCTCACAGACCCTTTCTTCGTGGTGGAGACGCTCTGCATCATCTGGTTTTCCTTTGAGTTGATAGTCCGTTTTTTCGCGTGTCCCAGCAAGGCGGCATTCTTTAAAAACATGATGAACTCTATTGACATTGTGGCTATAATCCCGTACTTCATCACTCTTGGAACAGAGCTGGCTGACGACCCAGACAACAAGGAGGGGAAAGGAGGAGGGGAACAGGCCACGTCTCTGGCTATTCTCAGGGTAATCCGCCTGGTGAGGGTGTTCAGGATCTTTAAACTGTCGCGACACTCGAAGGGGCTCCAGATTTTGGGGCAAACTCTGAAGGCGAGCATGCGGGAGCTGGGCTTGCTCATCTTCTTCCTCTTCATTGGCGTGATATTGTTCTCCAGTGCCGTCTACTTCGCCGAGGCCGAGGAGAAGGAGTCGTTCTTCACCAGTATCCCGGATGCTTTCTGGTGGGCCGTGGTGTCCATGACGACCGTCGGCTACGGGGATATGTACCCCGTGACCATCGGAGGGAAGATCGTGGGCTCGCTGTGCGCCATCGCTGGAGTGTTAACCATCGCGCTCCCGGTGCCCGTCATCGTGTCCAATTTCAACTACTTCTACCACCGCGAGACGGAGGGCGAGGAGCAGGCGCAGCTGCTCAACGTCAGCAACCAGAACTTGGCGTCGGACAGCAACTCAAGCCGCCGCAGCTCCTCGGTGGTCAGCAAGTCGGAGTACATGGAGATAGACGAGGACATGAACAACAGCATCGATAACTTTAGGGAAGCGAACCTTAGGACTGCCAACTGCACGGCTCCCAGTCAGAACTGTGTGAACAAGGGGAAGCTGCTCACCGACGTGTGAGGCAGCGTCGGGCTCACCGGTGTAAATATTGTAGAAATATCTGGATGCTTTATCTCCATTGGTGCATTTTATTCTTCTTTTGCATTGATTCATTCAAACATGTGTGAATACTTACAGAGTTTAAAGGCGCACATGGTACATTTATAAAGGTGGAGGCTCAAAAAGAGTGGAGTCGTTTGGCAATAGTTCAAAGATCAGCAGGTGTCGGGGGAACATTTTTTGATAAAGTATTCGCTAATTTTAGAAACTCGTCCCGTTAAATTACTCACTTTATTCCCTCAAGTTGAAGGGGAACTCCAACAATTCTACACAAGAAGATTAGTTTACTGATATATAATGTGTTTGCAGAAGCCTGAGAACATCCGATAGGGATGTCATTAGGGTTATCTTGGCACAGATTTGTTATCTTTGACGTCTCTTAAATGTATTATAGAATTAAAGCTTGTTTTAGATTAACTTGGATAATTTGTTAAGGAAATCTTGTTCTTGTTGGAGCTTTTCATGGATACAGACGGATGCACAAGCAAGAAGGAAACAAAGTCGTCTGAGAGGAAGATTTAGTACATTTGAGGGAATTTCCCTCAAGAGGAGTTTGTTTGTGTTGCACCTTTTCAGCAACAAGTGCTGCACTCGAGACATAAACAGTCCCGAATTCAATGTAATGGAAGTCAGCTGCAAACAGAAAAGTTTGAGGATTGAATATAGAGATTCAAACTAGCTTGAGGGAATAATTTGCAATTTGAGGGCACAAGAGTTTATCAAAAATCTCCCCGACACCTACCAGGCTTTGTGCAATAGACTCAACTTTCAGGATAAAAGAAAAAACAAAACAACGAAGCCCAAGTGAGATTCGAAGAACACGTCGGAGGACGACTCGCTCCCCGAAGAAACGCTCGGAGTGGATTACAGTTGAAGTTCGGGGCGTGTTTTTTCTGCGGCACATCCAGGGACATTTTTTGGAAAACTCGACGCCAGATGTCGGTCGACGTTTTTCAGGCACCTTATCAGAAACAATCAGGAAGTGTGCCGAGCCTTGTGGAGGATTATCTGCACTGCTGCTGCTGCTACAGGTCGGCTGGAGGTTCCCTGTATGATGCCATGCAACACTCCTTTATATAAAAGCATGTGGAGACTCTCTTCTCTCTTATATCGGCATGCACAAGACGTTACCTCATGTTTAATTTTTACATTTTTGTTTTTCCTTCTTCGACCCTCATCTTCTTCTCCTGGAATTTTTTCTCTCATTTGTTTTCACCAAAAGTGCACTGGCTATTTATTATAAGTTATTTTAAAGCATTTTAAGTGTTGAATGTTAAAAGCATTAAGGGAACAGGAACACTTCTTTTTCGAAGATCATGGCATGTCAAAATACTAAAGCATTATGGCCTAATTAGCTATGGTATAGCTATGTATACTCAATGCATGACTACAGTATTAAATTGCTTGCAGTTGTGGAGGGACCTCGGGAGCTGGGGGATGATGATGATGATTCTCCTCATTATTGTCGAGCTAACGACAGGATACGGTGCATGACGGAGCAAACTGCTGAAGGGGACAAATCTGCTGAAAAAACAAAAAAACAAAAACAAGAAAAAAAAATATCAGAAGAGACACATCCGGTGATCTCTTTTAAAAAAATGACATTTCAGAAATTACATCCTCCTTTTTCAGTTCTTTAAAGCTTTGATCTTTGACGACAGAGTGCATGGGATCATTTTATGTGATTTGTGACCCCATTTTTATTTTCTTGCATTTGACTTTTAAACAGTTTCAAGAAGGGAAAGCAGTAATATTTAACAAATTTCATAGATATATCTAAAATTAGTTTCTTAGTGCCTTGAACCCCGTCTCATTATAGAATTGACTGAAGTGCCTCCCGTTACAATAGACAGCAAAGAGCTTACTATGTGCAGCTTATCTTCTCCTGCCATAAAGATGCACTACTCCCTGCACATCTGGAAGAGGGTTTCAGACCAACAGGTTTTGATCAAGATGTGAAAATGATCCTGATTCTGGGGCCAGATCTTTGGGCCTACATGAACTCACATTTATCCTGGTTGATGACACATGGCTGCTAGTGAACAGTTAGCGTGACAAAGAGGTTAAAATGTGGATTGTTTGCATTGACTGGTCGTATATTTGGACTTTCTAAAATCTCAAGTTGAGGCGGTTATTTGCAAAATTAGCTTGAAAATGAGTCAGAATTACCACAATTATGAGAATAAGACAGAAAAATATCTTTATTTGTCTTTATAAGCAAAGCAGACAGATAACTGACACCGATATCGATCATAAGGCTCATTATTTTCAATTATAGACAAAAATACAGATTAAAATTTGATCATATTAATACATTTGCAGACAGGGACGTAGCTCGTCTTTAACGTGTTTTTAGGATAAGAAGTGTCACTATCATGTACTTCTATCTATATTTCCAGACACGTTTTTAAAGGTGACGAAAACAAATACTATTGTTTTAAATGTCTGTTGATACTTTATATTTTTCTTATTGTCAAAGAATCCCACGTGCAGACACATCCAAACAATGTGTTAGCCTGTCTGTTAATACTAAAGCTGTAGATATTTAAAACATAAATATAGATATATAAGGGTTAATGTGTACATTCACTGTTGGTTTGAGTCTGCACATGAGATTTAATGACGAGATGAAAATATAGAAACCACCAGACTTATTATATATTTAAAGCTACGGCTCTGACTGCAGCCCTTAACATTTCAAAGGACTCTTGCAGAATAATCAGCAGGTTTTTCTGTCACTTTCTATCAACTGCCACCGTCCGGAGCCTGTTTCCAGTGAACTCAGCTGAACAGCGCCCTCTGGCTGCATAAAACACTGCCGCTCTGTTTTCTGGGACCAAAAACAAAAACCTGCTGAAAACCAGATCTGCTGTCCTTTATAAAGAAATGTGTAAAACAATGAGCCTTACACGTCCTCTGCTTTGCTTCCTGACGTCGGTTTCTCTCACTGTGGTCGTTTTTTCCTGCATCTCAACAACAGCATTACGACTGTTTTTCTGTGCTCAAGTTGAGGCTTACATCTCCCAGCGCATCCTCAGTGTTCGGACAGTTGGTCCAGGCTCAAGAAATTAGAGGGGAAATAAATGTTTTGTACGCCTGCGAGTGCCCGGTTGTGGATGCTGCTGCAGAGAGATAATGATGAATGTGACCTCAGTGGAAGCGGTTTCCTCTGCAGAGAACTCAGCATTCATGTGAACATTACCACAGGCATTAGTCACTCTGCATGCCAGCAAAATGGCGCTGCTGCTGCTGCTGCTGCTGTGTTGTTTTGTGGAGGAAGCACATGGCTGTGTGAGGTTATCTTTTCAGGAGGACAACGTGTGATTTAATGAATCTGGATGATGTTAAAAGGAGAGTGTCGACCAGAATAAACTCACTGTTGATGCTGCAAAGATCGACTGTGAGGAGACGCTGGACGAGATGTGTGGAAGAAAATATTTCATAATAATATCAAGAATTTCAATATAAAGTAGAGCTGATATGTGACTTTTACTACACTTCATATGATTTACTGTAGATTCACCACCTTAACACCAGTGCCTGGTTGCAGAAAACAACTAAAGTTGCCCTTAAATTTTCATCTAAGGAAGAAAAAACTGAGTTGCATAAAACCACCATAAGGATTTCCTTCGGGAAAACTGTTTAATCTCAGCTGTTTGTACTTCACCGCGATGCTTTAAGGTCTTTAAGACAATTCAAATGTTCTGAGGTTGTGGTTATGATGTTTAATCTGCGTAACATAAGACAGTGGCTGATATTGAGACAAATGGCTGCATGATTATGGCCAAAATGATAATTATTTTCATCAATATTGAGATCACAGAAACATTACAGATGCCCGGATCTGGTTTTATTCTGCACAGGGCAGAATTAATGTGAAGCTGCAAGCAGACGGAAATGTTGTAGGCGATCACGTTCATTTATTAGGGGAAGTTAAAGTCATGATTGCGATTCATATTCGATTAATTGTGCAGCCTTACCAGGATGCATTTTTCGGATTCTCTGAGTGATGTGCAACTTGCACTTGAGTTTAGACTTTCAGTTAATGCTAGCAGCTCTGTAGCTAGTTAGCCAAACGTTAACAACTCAGTCTCATATTTTAACATCAGCGATATCGTTTTCTGTGAAACTTTCATATTTTTTCACTATTTTATTGTTTAACAGCAAGATTTGTTCAACTCTACTTTGGATTACGTGCTTGTGGAGAACATTCATTAGTGTAGTTAGATCTTAGAGAGGTAGCAAGCACAGATTGGCAGGAAAAAGTTGACTAATCTCGATTACTCCAATTTATTTTGGCTGTGTCAGAAAAATATGCTAAGTTTCAGCCTCATGGCCTTCATCAGACATTCATTAGTGTGTTAGGGTAGTAACCCTTAAGGTACGAGTCCACAGGATCAGTCATTACCACACTTTCCCTTCGTTGTTTATACGAGCAGCCGTGCAATGCATACTGGTAGTGCCGCATGTGTTTCAAGAAATGGAGCATCACGTTGGTAGCGTGACTCTGGAAACGTCTGTGTGGACACGTACCATCAGTCTAAACACCTGGCAGAGAGACAACCTGAGACACTTTATGCAACGCTGCAAACATAGGGAAATGTTTTGCATAAGGGACAAACTTTAGTCTGAAAATTAAGGTAGTTTCTGCAGCCGGGCACTGGGAAATGAGTTGGTTGAAGGTCATTGAATGCACCACTGATACTCAGAGGACAAAATGAGTCACCAGTTGGGTCCAAATTCAGACAAAACAAAAGGTTGTTTCTCTGTTAAATCTAAAAATGTGAACTTCTCAGGCTTCAGCCCCTGAAATGGAGGCGTTATTGTGTTATGTCACCAAAACAAAAATACTTAAGATCAACACTTCAGAGAAAACTGGACTCATGTTGAATCCCTCTCACCGCCATGTGCAGCAGCCAGCGACGGTTGTATACGACAATATCCCCCCGATATCGTTAATATCAGCTTCTTCTGACGCTGTCGTCTGTGATGTGTCACTGTTGGCGGCATTAAGAGTGTGGTTTAGTTCTCGGGGTCGGTTGCAGGAACAAACTCGTCCTCGCAAGCATCGACAGTATTATTATTAGACTGCCTTCCTTTGTGAGATAACTGATCAGACTCTGAGGAGAAACGCAACTTTTTGTTGAGCAGTTAAACAGCCGATCGGAGCCTCGTCTGAGTCAGTGGATTCGGTTACGTAAGAGTCTGCAGGTTGTTTTTATTCCAACCAAACAACTTAAACATGAAGTCAGCTGCAGGAGGATCAGTTCGGATGAAAAGCTGCAGACTCATCCGACACTTTTACTCTTCAAACTGTTTCTGGCAACTTTTGGAGCTGAATCTCATCCGAGCTGATGTGTGTGTATGATGTAATAGACCTTTTTTACAGCAGCCACTCTGAGTATAAACAATAGGGTAAACACAGGTGTTACCAATGATGCATTCAGGTCAAACAGAGCCAGGGTGCTGTTGTCTTACACTGGAAATACTACACTAAAACAGACAGAACCTTAATTGGTATCATTGGGAACACCTGTCTTTACCCTACTATTTTATGTCAAAGTGGCTGCTGTGAAAAAGCTCTATTGAAAACACTTGTTTGGGTGAGCAGGGCCTTTTAAAACCACACTCTGACGTAGTTACAGTGCAACAACACAATAGACCTTTTTCGCAGCAGCCGTTCTGACAGGAAACAGTAGGGTAAAGACAGATGATACTAATGATACCAATTAAGGTTCTGTTACATTACATTTAGCCGTAATTTCTCCATATAATATGATCCAGTTTCACAAAAAATCAAAAATGTAGTTTATAACTAAATGAGCTAGTTAGCTAGTGTTTTGCTCTGTAGCTAAATGCTAGGTAACTAGCTAGCTAATCTACGACTACGATCTATGACCTCACTGATTATTGTACAAAAACACAACTTTATAACTTATTATTTTTTACTGTATTCAGTGATTTTGGTGAAACTGGATCAGATTTTATGGAGATTATTCCTGGTTCTGCTCATGGACAACTGCTAACTGTATCTGCCGTTAGTGGGCTACAGAACCGGGCTTGAACACATCCTCAGAGACCAACAGGGAATAACGTTACAGCACCGACGTCATTTACGGAGTTTCCTGATGGAAAGATTGACGAGTTGCCAACCGCTAACTGCCATTAGCTCGGTCAGCCGTGCAGCTAAGCGAACTGACTCGGCCGTGACTCGGGAACCAAACTGAGTAAGAAAACCACCTCGGTGCTCAGACCGGCACCGTCGGTCTCTGAGATTGAGTTCGGTCCCGAGTCCGGAAGGAAGACGCTGATGGTAGCTCATAGTGCTAACACACACTCAGCACTATAGGCTGCTGGAAGCTAACAGCTTTAAAGTCCTGAAAGATTATATTTATATTTTTTAAATCTTATTTAATCTTGTGTGGACAAGATTATAATTTTTTTTGCACTAAAAATAAGTTATTAACAAGGTCGTTTGGGAGCATAAATAAATAATTTGTGCTTTCAAGATAATAAAATCCGTATTTTATGTGACAAGATAATAATTTATTTAATATTTTATGTGGATCA